GCATACTTGTTTACATTCTGTATTTAACAACTGCAAAATCTGAAATCTTTGCAGGGCCAATTTACTACCTGTTGTTGTTGCAGATTTATTCATAATGTCTTATTTTGTGTGTTGTGTGGTTTCTGATTGTGAAGTCTGGCCCCTTGAAATTTGTATGAATTCTTAGAGAGCTAGGTTAAAGTTGAGTGTTTCCAGGATGGATTGTTTTAAGTTTCTGCCAGTTGCTTGCAGAGTACTTCCAGCTTGGAATGAGCCATTTTTACCATATAAGCAATAGGAATGAAGGCTGAAAACTCAGGTGAGAGGACACTTAAGGTTTCAAATTCTCAGGGGACATTTTTTTCCCTGCCACTCAATGTCAAAGTGGAGACAGGCAAGGAGTTTTCTTCCTGTGTCATCCTGTGGAGCATGTTTATTTCTCATTCACCTTTACACTGAATGTGTAGTCCTTTCAGTCTCTGCCTGATGCAAATATTAGACTGCCCATATTAGATGGACCCTAAACTTTATTTTCCAGCCCTCAGGCAGCTCAAAGTCTTTAGAGGTCAGCAGATGCCCTCAGGTAAAAACTAGCTTCAGTGCGCTGGCTTGTCTCCCAGAGCTCTTGCATTCACTTAATATTTGGCTTGTGTAGATTCTGTGCTTTCCTGTAAACTCAGTGATGTATTTTAAAAAATTTAAAAATAAATTTACCCCATTTTTTGGTTTGTTTCTTATTTTCAGTGGTAAGATCAGTTAGGGGTCTACCCTCTTGCCACAAACAAAGATCTATGTCCATTTCTGCCTTTCTTCCAATGTGCCTCTGGGTGGACTCAAACCACCAACCTTTAGATGAGCAGCCCAGTGCATTAACCATTTGTACCACGCAGGGACTGGGCGCATAACAACCACAAAATCTCAGAGGTGTATAATAATATGCATTTATTTAGCTCATGTCTATGGATCAGAAATCTAGGGTGAGGTTACTGGGCAGTTCTGCTAATCTCAGTTGGGCTTTGGGTTGTCTAATCTAAACTGCACTCAGATTAAGCAACTCTGTTCCATGTCTCTCTCATCCCCCTCGTAGGATCAGAAGGCTGGCCCTGGCAGGTTTTTCTCACGACAGTGTCAGAGATGTAAGAGGGCAAGTCCATTTGCAAAAATACTTTTCAAGCCTTTGGTTGCATCGTGTCTGCTAACATTCCATTGATGAGTCACATGGCCAAGCCCAGAAACAAGAGATAGAGAAGTACACTGTGTTCAAGGAGATAGGGAATGGTGGTGAGTGAATGTTTCTGAACGATAATTGAATGTAGCACACAGGCCTTTGTAGACTATTGTAAGACTTTGGCTTTTACTCTGTTGTATACAAAATTGTTTGGGGATTTTCCGGAGAAATGTAACATGATCCGACTTCTG